AAATTCAACTGTTACCTAAAGATTTAGAACCAATTTTGAAAGAAATGCATCTTAGCTCAGAAAATTGTTATTGAATATGTCAATGATGTAATGAAATGCTTCTTCTAAGTATGTAGTTATTAAATAAATAATTAAAAAAAATAAATATATTTAAAAGAAAAAAACACAAAATAAAAAAATTAAGAATACTTTTGTTTTTCAACTATTCTAATAAGAAGCCATAAGTAATTGCAATGTCTAAATCAGGGACCCCATCATTGTGGGCTGCAGCAGAAGCCTCTCCACCGAAAATCCTCTGACAAGCCAAAGGCAAGTAGACACAAACCCAATTTCCATCTCTATCACACAACAAGTCTTCTAGTCGTATTTCAGACTTTGTGGCTTACTTTAGTTTTCCTTCCACTAGTATTAACTGGGTTTTTACAATACGCTTGCTTGCTCTTTTGAAGGTAGCGCTTCCAAAAACTGTGCAAAACTTCATCCTAAAGTAGAAGGTAGAAGGAAATGAGTGGCGATTTACTGTAATGACAGATACACAGGCACATCTAGACCACAGAATCTCTTGTACATCTAAGTGCATCCTTCCCTCTTTTCCTTTAAAGATTCTCAACACGGTATCAAGTATATGGGAAACAATGAATAAATAAATGTCTTGTTTTGCAGTGCTGGGGTTAAACTCAGACCAGACCTCAAGATATACTTCCAATATTTAATTGTAAGAGAAGGAAAAGGCACTAAAGATCACCTGGTTGGAGCCCTTCCTTTTACATACTAAGAGTCACAGAAAGAAGATGATTTATACTTGACTATACTTCTAGTTAGAGGCAAAGACCCTAGTGTCACTAGATTCCTCCTCAGTTCCACTCAAACCTTATTCTTCAAGCAATTCAAAGTAACTCAAAGTAAATCATGTAAAGCTAACATCTAGACACAAACGGACGTACCTTCAACTCTGAGCCTACTCCAAGATTCTTCAACGCTTCTGCTTGGTGATAAAGTATGTACTGAAAACCTTCACAAACATACCAATCCCAGCCTTTTTCTAAAAGACAAATAACATGTTTTAGACATTTGTATTCCTAATTTACTATAATGCTGCTACATAATTATAATGTGTGTTTACACAGCAATTTTATTTTTACACCTCAAATAGTTTCTTTTCTTGTTTGTGTGTGCTTTGTTTATGTTTCTATTTTACTTATTTGTATTTGATGTGTCTGAGTGTTCTGCCTGCATATATGCAAGTGTATCATTCCAGAAGAGGGCATTAGATCTCCTGCTGGAGTTACAGGCAATTGTGAGCTGTCTAAGCGGGTGTTAGGAACCAAATTTAGGTCCTGTGGAAGAGCAGCAAGCACTCTTAATTGTGGAGCCATATCTCCAGTCCCTCTCAGCTGTTTACCAGGATCCAGTGGTTTCAAACTTAAGAGTTTGTTCCTAGGTAGTCACAAAAACACGTTTTCAGACCCTTTTCAATAATGCTTCACTGCCATATATTTACTGGATTAACACCCATGCTACACGTATTTTAAGGAAAAATACTCTTTCCTATTTTAAAAAGGTATGTTCAAAATTCAGAGTGAGAAACGGTTTTCTGAAAGTTGAATATGAGTTTAACTTACTGAATCTGACAAGTTCACAGCTGAATCATCTCGGAAAATCAAATTCATAATAGAACAGGACCAGCACATAAAACAGCCAAGGCTCCTGTACAATCATCTTTTCACAATAGTGGCTCCACCAGAAGAGCAACATCCTGACAGTCAACAGTATTTTAAACAACTATGCTTCAATGCATTTGCTTCCAGTTTTACCAGCTGCAGTAACTTTAATTCTAGTTGGATTTTCTCATTAAAATGCTGGCCTTTTTCTAGAATCTATTTAAAATTCCATCCTGTGTCCCCCACATCATAACAGTAGAAACTGAGTAGAGCAGGCTGCAGCCAGTGTCAGCAAGACTCACCATGTTTTCTTTTCTTTCTAAGACCCCTGTTGATGGTGTTTATCTTGGTATTAGGAATAACTGAAGAGTTGATAACTTCCTTAGATTTCTGCAGGAAATAAAAAGGACAGTTAAGAAGGTAGCTTTGTATCCCTCTCAACATTTTATCTCCAAGTATATTCTGCCAAGTGTTAAGGAACCAAACTGAAAATGACTAGACCAATGATGGCAAAATTATACCATCCTATTTAATCTTTATGTTGATTTTTTTATTCAAGATTTCTTGGTTCTTAAAAAGTGCCCAAACATAGTAACCACCAAGTAAGTGTCTGTTAAATAAGAAACTTTTACTTTAAATCAGTGACTAACTTTTCATACCAAACAAGTCAAATATGTTCTTTTTTTGAGACAGGGTATCTCTGTAGCCCCAGGAGCTGTCCTGAAACTCACTATGTAGACAAGGCTGGCCTTGAACTCACAGAGATCCACCTGCCTCTGCCTCCCAAATGCTGGGATTAAAGGCATGAGCCACCATGTCCAGCATATATATATTCATTTTTTTAGCCATGTCAAATACACTTTAATATGAAAACAATTTTTTTTTTGCTGGCCATGGCACATACCCATAATCCCAGCACTTGGAGACTGAAGGCAGGAAGATCAAGAGTTCAGGAATAAACAATCAGTTCTCTTATTTACTATAACTGACTGATCCCTAACCTACCCAAAGTTTAGCTCTGTTCTCCTTTTCCAAGTATTTGAATGTTACTCTAAAATGGCTTTCAGTTACAAAAGCACTACTTTTTATCTTCACTGAAACAGAATTTTAGGATAGCAAATGGTTAGTACAATTTATTAAAAAGTTTTCAATTCTGGAGCTGGAAACAAGGCTCAGTGGTTTAGAGCACTGAGCACTGACCTTACAGAGGACCCGGGTTTAATTCCCAGCACCCACATGGCTGCTGGTGACTCTCTATAACTCCAGTTCCAGGGAAATCTGACACTCTTCTGATCTCTGAGGGCACTACACAACTCGGATGCACTTACATACATGAAGACTCATATACATAAAAATAAATTTTTTAAATAAAGTTTTCAATGCCAACTGTTTTCAAAGACAGTTATCTAATGGCTTTAATTTTCTTAAAACCAAAAATAAAACTTGAGTCTTAGTACTGGAGAAAGGTGAAAGTTTTAAAAGAAGTCGAAATATCTTTTCTAAATTTAGAGATTTAGAATAGAGCTTATCTGCTACCCCCTCTCCCTCCCCCCTCTCCATTTCCCTCTCTCTTTCTCTCTCTCTTCCCTCTCCTCTCCTCTCCTTTAATACAGTCTGGGCAAACTTCAAATTTGTGTTCCTTTTGCCTTCCATGTCCTGGGATTACAAGTATACATTACCCCAACTGAATGAAGTTGATCTTCAACTAAACTCCCATTAAAAATAAAAGGCATAGTCGGGCATAGTGGCACACACCTTTAATCCCAGCACTTGGGAGGCAGAGGCAGGTGGATCTCCGTAAGTTCAAGGCCAGCCTGGTCTACATAGTGAGTTCCAGGACAGCTGGGGCTACAGGGAGACCCTGCTTCAAAAAGACCAAAATAATGAATGAATGAATAAAAATAAATAAAATCAAAGGCACAGAACCCGGCTTAAACCATTTGTAGATGACTTGCTTCTGGGTTGAGGTTTTGTAGGTAACAGAGCAGCTCCCTTGTTGTGATCTATTGAAAGTCAGCCCTTGACAAGGTGGGGAAAAGGGCTAGAGAGATGGTTCAGTGGTTAAGTGGTTAAGAGCACTGGCTGCTCTTGCAGAAGACTGGGGTTTGAATCCCAGCACCCACATGGCGGCTAAAACCATCCGTAACTCCAGTTTTAGAAGATCCGACACTCTCTTCTGGCCTCTTTGGGCACTTCATGACTCAGTTGCACTTACATACACGGAGACCCTGACTCAAAAAGAAAAGAGCAAGAAAATGAAAAGAAAAGAGAAAGAAACAGGAAAGGAAAGTGTAAGAGACATATCTCTTAACAATGGGATTTTTGTAATTCAGTCTCTCTAGTCACAGAAACTATTTTCAAAACAATATGATGTAGAAATTAGCTATCCTGAGAAGATAAGACATGTCAAAATAATTCTAAAGTAGTTATTTAGCAAAGACAGAACATTTAAAAGGTAACAAGGAAAAAAGAGGGTTTAAAATTTGGACTAAATAAAATGTGAAACAACAAAACTAGAAAAGGTTAAACATTACAAACCTGGTCTATAAGTAATTGACTGGATAGTTAGATTATGGAATATTTACACACTTCATAAAACTCTGCAAATATTCAGAATAACGGTAAAAAAATCAAGACTAAAGATTCAATAATACTCAAAAATCCCCTTTTTCCTTTCTAGACACAGAAAAAAAGATTGAAAGGAAGTTACTGAATGTATATAGACATTATTGGTGATTCTGGCTTTCATCTCATAGTTTTCAAATTTCCTACAATAAACATGCATTCTTTTCATAATTATAAAATCTGCTAAACTCATATAATTTGAGCCTAGACTTTCATTAAATACTTAAGAAGGCAAAATTATATGTTGCCTAAACTGGCCAGATTAAGGATCTTAAATTCTTTTTCCTGAAGAAAACATACAGGGAGAAACCTTTTTATTCAGAAAGCTTTGTTCAGATTGTATAAAGAACCAAGAGCTTGAAGAATTCCATACACAGTAAACTAAGGGGAAATGAAAGCAGAAAAATCAGGCAAATTGTTATACAACTTCCGTTTTTCATGGGTGTTCTGTCTCACTGGTCATTCCTCATCCACTGAATTTCAACACCACTATACTACACAACTCCAAGGTGCATTAACTCTAATATTCTATGTGATGAACATACCTGGATTACTGTAAAGCTAAGAGTAACCACTGGAGTTATGTAACACACAGGCTTGCCTACTGTGTGAAAAGAAGACTCTGTGGTTCATGGCTTTTATAAAATTATGTTGGGACCAGGGATGTAGCTAGCTGTAGAACATTTGCCTAGTACTCATGAGGCACTGGATTCAATCCCTTGCAAATGGAGGAGGAGCGAGGGGGGGGGGAAGGAAAGGAAAGAAATATATTGCACATTTTCAAGAATTGCATAGCTGCACATTCTGCTGGGAGTGATGGTGCATGCCTTTAATCCCAGCACTTGGGAGGCAGAGGCTGGTGGATCTCTGTGAGTTCAAGATCAGCCTGGTCTATATAGTGAGTGTCATGCCAGCTTACAGGGAGACCCTGTCTCAAAAAGACCAAAAAAAAAAAAAAATTGCACATAGGTATTCCAAGTGGAAAACATTCCATTATGATACTATCTTCCTTCACTATGTTTACATTTGCTCTACACTAGAGAATTAACAGTTAGTAAAACCACCAGTACCTTAATAAGCATCAAAGCAGAGGACCAAACTACACACATTTCAACTGTACAATGTGATATGCTTGTGTAGACATACATCTATTTATATATTTTTAAAAGATTGTCTTTATTTATGTGTATGTACATGTCTGTGTGAATGTATGCAGGTGCCCTCAGAGGCCAGAGTACACTGGATCCCCTGGAGCTGGAGCTACAAGCAGTTATGAGCTTCCCAACATGGGTGCTGGGAATCAAACTTGGATCCTCTCACAGTGTTCTGAGCCATCTCTCCAGTGCCACATTTATATATCTTGATGAGCCATGTGTCTCCATGAGACCATCACCATAATCACTCTACCAGTGTCTTTGGATAAGTACTTATCGTGTTAATAGCCTATCTAATAGGGAAGCAAACAAGCATTTGAGCTGTAAATAGACGAAACTGTCTCAAGAAACACAGTCATGTAAGGGGAAGATGGCTCAGCAGGTTAAGACCATATACTGCTCTTATAGGACCTGAGTTGGGTCCCAGCACCTATAGCAGGCAGCTCACAACCACTTGTAACTCTAGTTTCAGGAATTCCAGCTCCCTATTCTGGACTCCATAGGTACCAGCACACATAGGCAAATAGCACCCCCAGCCCCCCCATACACATAATTTTAATGCATTAAATTGTGAAAGAGAAAGAGAGAGAGAGGGAGGAAGGGAGGGAAGGGAGGAGGGAGGGAGGGAGAGAGGAAGGGAGGGAGGGAGGAGGAATTCCAGCTCTGGACTCCATAGGTACCAGCACACATAGGCAAATAGCACCCCCAGCCCCCCCATACACATAATTTTAATGCATTAAATTGTGAAAGAGAAAGAGAGAGAGAGGGAGGAAGGGAGGGAAGAGGGAAGGGAGGGAGGGAGAGAGGAAGGGAGGGAGGGAGGGAGGGAGGGAAGGAATGAAGGAAGGAAGGATGGGAGGGGTAAGGGTGGAAGGGAAGGAGGGGAGCAAAATGAGGGAAGGTGGAAAATTCCTGGATTTGAATCCAAAGAAGTTCCACGCTTCCT